AGATCCACGTAACTATCGCTTCCCCGGTTTTGCTTTGAAAGATGCACAAGCGTACAGATACCAGCTAAATAACCAACTACGGCATCGAGTAGCAAATTCAATTTACAGGATTGTCACTCACATTAATTTTCTCCAGAAATCAAAGCTTTAAATATAGTTTAAAAGATTAAGAAGAGATGCGTCCTTCCAGTCCTTTCTGTAATCACAAGCAGCACAGGGTTTTAATAGTTTTCTCTTAATCAAGTGTTTTTTCACAGTTAGTAAATACTGCTACTAATAGTATCTGCAGACAGGAGTTGTCTTGGATTGCAGTTCCATAATGTGAGAGGCTCTACAGCCTTTACTCCTGTAGCATTCTGGGTTGGGTGGTTTTTTTGTGTGTTGTTGTTCATTGGAGTTTTTGTTGTTTGGTTTTTTTTTTTATTATTTAGCAGTTATTTATGGGAGAAAAACCACATCATTGTCTCAGGCCTTCACAAGAACTTTTTCCTCTAAAGAATGCCACAACATTTCTTCCTAGCTGTGGAAGGAAGAGAGGTGAACCAAGCTTTTATTTATTCCCAGAAACATTCAGAGTGATTTTTAATTTTGTTAAAGAAAGCAAAAGCATCGTGAACTACTAGAAACTAAAGGTTCATGTATTTTTCTCATAGAGTTCAAATTACCTAGCACACTTATTTGTAAATAATATTTTTAGCACAAGTTCCAGCAAATCAGCAGTCCACTGGTAACTGATGTGTCTCACCAGGGGGACCAGGAGATTTCAAGTGAACCCTTTTCTTAAGGAAAAAGAAAACAGAAATTTTACCTCTTTCTGCCGCAGAATGTGAACAGAAGCAGCACAGAGAGCATTGCTGAGCAGTGCTAAAGATTCTCCTAATGTGTCATTTGTTCATCATACTATCAGATAAGCTATGAGGACTTAGTCTCAAAAACTTCTGTGGTTGTGTATCCGGCAGCTCAAGCCACCTCCATCTCCTAAGCATATATCCTTTTCTAAGAGGAGATGGAATGCTTCTAATAATATACTTATTTTTTAACAGCTTAAGTGTCAGTTTCCAGCAGAAAAACCAAACTTGAGTACCTTCACCTTTAAAATGTCAAAAGATCCGGCACAATCTATTTCTCACTGATCCAACTAAATCCACATCAAGTTTTACATTCTTTGGAGCATTGTTCTGCGTTTCGTTAAGAAGTCTGAGTGCTGCAACAGAACAGACAGATTTATCTGTAAGCCAAGCATAAACAGAAGACAAACTGGGTGATCTTGGAGAGCTCAAGGGAAAGAAAGCTCTGGGAAAGGACTGCAGGCATCAGCACACCACCTTTTCCAGGACCTCCTGCAAGAAGAAATTCAGCAGGGAAGAACAACAAATGGGAGATGATTCCAACCTTTTACTGTCCTCGGCATTCTGGCTTATTCCTTCCCAAGGCAGGGGAGCACATTCGGATTACCGCTGGCCTGATCTTTGACCAGCAGGAACCGACTTACAGGAAACTGTTCAAGAAGGAAAGACTTTACACACTTCACCTTTTACATATGTCCTGTTGCTGAGCACTCACAGGAGCCTAAGCCAGGCAGTGTCACTGCAGAGCCCACCTGCCTACTCTCAGCTTCTACCAGCGGGAAGACAGAAGCATGGGATGTCATTCCAGCACTGACCTTAGGGCTAACGTAGAGCAAGCCTTTAAGCCCGAGTGATTCACCCTCGCAGCAGTTCTTGCCTCACACATCAAGAATCACTTGCAGTTCCAGAGACGACTAGCAAGGGTGGCTTTAAGAAGTAAATAATAAATTAAAGCAGATAACACTCTCACATCCCTACATCAATAATGCATGCTCGTTACATGCATAGCAAAATGCTAACAGATTGCATCTATTAGTCTGTGAGGAAGGAAACATCATCACGCCTTAATAAAAAACTTGGGCACAGGGTTCATGCTTCATGAAGTTGTAGGCAGGTAAATAACTTCCATCATTACCTGGGTAGCATGTGATGGATGAGGAGTATAGGTAAGAATCTACCTGCATCCCTTACAAAAAAAAAAAAAAAAATCATTCTACTTATCATCTGTATAGGCTCCCAGAGCACCAAACTTGTGGTTTGGATCATGAGGATTGCGTACAAGGAAACTCCTGCCCCCGAGAAATGGCTTCCACCTTGAACAAAACCATGTCACAGGCAAGCCAGGCTCTTACCATCTCTGCTGTTTAATGCAAGAAATAAACAGTCTCTCCTCTGCTTTCACTATCAGCCACTTAACAGCTTTTAGAGAACCAGCAGGTAAACAAACCTTAAAATTATCCAGGCTGTAAAAAACTAACGAGTGATAGAGAACATTTTGTAGGCTGGCGTTTCCGGATAAAAAAGCAGCCAGCCTTCATCAGACCTGGAGCATTACAGACAGCATTTCGAGTCCTAAAAGCATTTATTTATTCACTTGGATGCTTACTGTATGCTAATGGTCACAGAGCTATTGCTCTTGCTCAGGGGCATGTGAGCAACACATGCATCACTGGAATAAGTCAGCTGGTGCACAGTTTGCTCTCAACTGCCAGCTTTCCTGGGAAAACCTTGCCATTATAACAGGCAGACATCTGGCCACATAATAGGGGTAAAGGTTACTGGACTCCCAAAAAATTTCAAACTGCTTGCTAACAATTTCCCTGGGAGTTACTGGGAGCAAGCTGTATTCATTTTGCAGGTGTGGGAACCACATACTGATGGCTGCCCCCCTTAGCTGGTCAAATTTGGGAACCTGCGTACTTAAGTAGCATATGTGAGCTCCTGGCAGATGTGTGGCACACTGACCATGGTGGGAACCCCTGTTACAGCAGTCTTAGGGTTAACCAGCTGGACAGTTCAACCATCCTCACCGTAGCTCAACCCCAAGACAGGGCTTGGTGGAAAGACCACTGGACAAAATGCTCCAAGCCTTTACTCTAGTACAGAACTCCTCGTTACCCTTAAATTAATAGTAAATTGACAGTAGTAGCACCTGTTACAAACAGCATCATCTTACTAAAAGAGCAGCAAGAGCGAGCCAGTGCTCTAGATGACCAGGTCTAAGGTAGAGGAGAGCAGACAGGCAGGATCTGTCTGCTTTACAGAAAGCCAGGCTCCTGCCCAGCTATCTTAGAACATGCAACAGCATCAGGGCACACTAAGGTTTACCCCACAGTGGTAGGTGCTAATCTCTTTCAAAAATTGTCACAAAATCCTCCCGAGTTCATCACTTTCTGTGACTAACTCCCCACAGACTCTTTCTCTGTGTTGTTTCCATGTCTGCTAAATTTTCAAAGCCCAGTGATTATCTCTGCATCCTGCAAACCCACAGGCTCAGCACAAAATCACTGGCAAACAGGGTTTTTTCCACCGGACTAGAAAGAGAAAAAAAAAAAAAAATCCATTGGAAAACTCCTGTTTCCCATTGCAAAGGGGATAGACTTGGAGTCTGCTACATATGAAGAAAGGAGGTGCCATGCTGGCTCTGGTATGCTAATGCCACCTAATCCATCAACCACTTCAGCTTTTTTTCCAGTCACAGCTTCAAAAACATAACCAGGGTTAAGGCAGAAATGTCTTAATGATGAATATGTAGGAAGCTGTAAATCCTTCAGCTGAGCAGCCATCCTCTCTGTTGAACTGCAGACCCGAACTTCACAATTCTGACACTTCAGCATATGCCCTATTCATTAAGTTCCTGGTTTCTATGCCATAACTGAATCACTACTTGTATCAGCCCAGCTAAATGAAAACCAGCAGTATTTCTCAACCAAGAGATGCTTTTCGGTGTCAAATGGAGAGAGATTATCAAATCCTTGATGGCATGCATTTATTGATGAAACTTCCCCAAAACTTCACGACAGAGTGACCTTGCTAAAGGGACCTCACGCAGGAAGAGCTACCACATAATCAGAGCAGGTATTAGGAAAAGAAAAAGCTCTGTCCTGTAGACATGCAACCCAGCAGTCAGTGAGTCCCTGAGGTACGTGGCGTGCAGGAGAGACATGTAGTACACGCTTCCAGCCATAAACCCACACACAGGCTGCATGGGAGTTGCAAAGCAATGAAAGAAAAATTGGCCCACACTAAGCCAGTATAAGGATTTACAATGTGCTAATTTCTCAGGGAAACTTTTAAAGCAGCTCGTGTACTTTGGGCCTTCAGGAAAGGCAGATTGTTCCACTCTCCCATTAAAGGTACACTACAGTGCATGTTGCACACCCTGATTGCACCTGCAGAGGGTTACATGAGGTACATGCTTTGTACCGTCACACAATAACTCCCCAGGTATTAATTTTCCTGTGTTGACAAGCTCTTGGAGGTCTTTATGAATTATTTATCCTCTTTTAAGACAAAGGACTGAGTGACTTTCAAGTCTGGAAAGCAGCCAAGAGCTGAACCCAGACATCTTGACACGGAGACCTACCTACTAGCCACAAGGCTACTTGGTTTCTCTCGCCCTCACATTCTCCCGTTATCAGCTGAAAATAGGATCAACTGAAGAAAGGATTTCAGAGAAGGCGTCAGCAGTAGGTATGAACATCACAAAAAAACCACCCCACCAACGACAAGGGTTTGACATCACCACTCCCTGCCCTGGAAATCCCGAAGAGGTCACCTCCTCTCTCTCAAAGGTCTCTTCAGGATGACTTAATGGAGTTAAGTCTCATCACCCGTTCCTTCAGGACAGCCTCCCTCGCTCAGCAGCAAGTTCTTTATACGCTGGGCCTGTATTACCGGTAGAAGGCACACAGAGGGCCACGAACAAGGACAGATCCCAGCGCCGGTGTTCCTAACACGCCTGCAAAAGGACTGGGCCATTCGGTCTGGCATCAGCAAGCCCGGTCAACTACATTCCCCAATCCGGCCAACAGACGAGCACCAGGTCCCCGGGAGAAGCACGCCAAGGCTTCTAGGGGCACAGACCCTCCCTACCTAGTGGGGACAGGCCCCTCAGGGAAGCAGGGGAAGGGAAGTGGCCAAAACACCTACCTGCTCTCACTGTACTCCTTCTTCTCTCTCACACGCAGCCACTTCCGAAGAAGGAAGCGCTTGCGCCGCGGGGAGGCACTGGGTGTGGAGCAGTTGGACCAGGGGGTGTCCTCATCACTGGAGGGAGTGATTTCAATGGATGGGAGCTGCAGGTATTCCTTGCTGGAGGAAGGAGAATCCTGATACCTGCTGGCCTCCAGGCTCTGCTCCTGCACGTTCTTCATCCGCCTCATCTTGAAGCGCTTCCTGCGCAGGGTTGGGGTGGACGAGCTGGACCAGGCACGGCCACCCTCCGCCACCGGCTGCTCGGGGACTTGCAACGCCGGGAGCTGCAGGGTTTCTGTCATATTGGCAGCTGGCATCAGATGCCCTTTCTCCTTGTGCTCCCACCCCCAGGCACACTAGCTCTGATCTGGGTGTAAATCACACCACAAAACCACAACTTGCCTTCCCCCTCCCTCCCTCACCCAGTCCAGCACTGCCCTCCCTCCCTCCCTCCCGCTCAAGCAGGAAACCTCATGTTCTTCACGTGCTTTCATTTAAGGAACAGCAGGGCGGGGAGGGGATGTTCAGGGCAGACGTGCCACAGGGGAAGCCAGTTTCGAGTTTTTTCTCCTCCTCCTCCTCCTCTCTACAAAACAAAGTCCCTCCCCTGCCTGGTGGCTCTCAAAGCAGGAGGTTCAGCACCGAGACACGGGTGCCAGCAGGGGCTGGGCTCACTTTCGGCTTCCCCCCCCCCACCACCACCACCTCCCTTTTGCCTTGTCCTTTTGCTTAGTGTTGGCTCAGGAAAGCAAATCTCCTGGGTCTGTGCTAGGGAACCAGCTGTGGTCTTCTCCAGAGACGAAGCAAGTATGGAGTGGAGCGGCTTGGAGCTGTGAGGAGGTCAAAGAGAAACAAAGGGAGGGAGGGAAGCACAATACTAGATAAAATCAGGCGAAAGAGTAGGAGGAGCAGCATGTGCTGTTTCTGTACCGGTGAGACGTACGCAGGCAGCTGTTGCAAGTGTAACTGCACTCTGAATCCCAGGAGGCAGGGTTCGTGTTACCCAGTGTGCTGCTGCTGCTGCTACAAATCAGCCCAGCGAGGAAGGGGGAGAAGGGGGAACAGCTTTCTGCAGGCTTTCCCCTTGTCCCACCTTCCTGCTCGCTCAGCCCACCCCGTGGAAGGAGGGGGGCAGCGAGCGAGGGAGCAAACTCGGACTTTCAGCCTTTTTCCACGACTAGGGTTTGGTTTTGTTTGTTTTTTTTTTTCCCCCCCATTGACTGCTCACAGAGAAGGTAAAGAAGGAGAAAGATTGAGGAACAGCTAAAAAGGCAGAAGCAGGCACCAGAACTGGGAAGCTGGTTGTTGGGGTTTTGTCTTTTTTTTTTTTTTTTTTTTTTTAGCTCAGGTTCACGTGAGCGAAAGCTGATAAAATAGTTCTCGGAGGGCAACGCTGCTTCCAAAATGACAGTGGGTGATGGATGGGCTCAGGTCCAGGAACCGACAAAGACACCACATAAAGACAATTAGACGTGCAGAACAGGTTTCAGACCAGAAGGAATACACACACTGTGGAGGGTTCCCAGGGATTTTAGTACACTGAAGAAGGTCTAACCAAAGGCCAAGCACTGGGAGGAAGAACAGCCTCAGGACAAGCCTTGCAGGATTCCGGTAATGACACCAAATCAGGCAAAACGAACTGTAACAGATTCTCCATCAGGATCCCCTGGATGTCACCAAATGCAGCTTGTACTTTCAAGTGACATAGAACTTAAATTTTCTAAGGGAGTGACTATAAAATTCAAGCTGTAGGAATTTCAAGTGTGCGATCAGAAAAACAATCTCTAAATCAACCTGGCACAGCTTTAGTTTTCATTGTTCAACAGCCTGAACCTTTGAAAAGACTCATTTCAGGTTAGAAAATATTTGTTAACCCAAATTTAAATAGTTTTTCTTGCATGAACTGCCTCAGCTGTGTTCAAAAATAAGCTTCAAGAACTTGTAACATCAAGCACTGCCATCTAGGACAGGTAAACATGTCACAAAATTAAGATTTGTAACAGCAGGAACAAGAAGAAAAATGTTTCAGTAATTTGGGGGGGTTTTCTTAATCCTCAGTTGCTATTTTCTGCTTCGTTGTACCGTCCTTTTTGCTCTGCTCATCCCATAAATTATTAGCTTGAGCAATTCTTCACTTTATGGAGCACCTGTCACCTTGATGTCTACACATCAGGCGTGCACACAGTCAGAACACAGTCTACAAACACCCACTAAAGTTTTTTTTTCAAGTCCAAGAAACGAAAATATACAAATTAGACAAAAAAACAATATACCATATTTGAAGACTTGCACAAGTAGGTGAGCAGCCTCTCCACCTCTTGAGGGCCAATAACGTTTTTTCCTCCTCCGTAATATGGAGAAACCTGAACCTGAGTACTTCAGCTGCCTGTTGCCATCGTTTCCATCATGTCACCACACATTCAGACACCACCTGTACATGAATTTCTGTGTTAACAGGTAGCCAGTAATCTTAACTTCCCTCTTCTTCCCATGGCATCCAGAAATCAAAATCCCACAACATCATTCCTAAATTTTAACCAAGAGTGAGTATGTGCACCTCTGGAGTAAGGGATAGCCCTTTGGTGACTATCATAAAGTTTTGCTCCATGTATTAATGGGCTTGATCTCCCAGGGAATCTTCTATCAACCACGCAAGCTTCTCATTGAATTGCCGAAATAAATGCAAATAAGAAAGGTCAAAGTTTGCGCTTTTGCGTGCTTGCTTTATTACTGAAGAGCACAGCGGGCAGTGTAAGCCCTTGAAACCCCCACAGATATTATCCAATTAATCAACAAGAGACTCAGACTGCATTGCTCTGCACAACAGTAGCATCTGGTGGTCACCATCTTTGACCAGGAAAAACTGGCCCTTTCACCAGCCCGCTTTTTGTTGCCATGGCCATGCCAGTATAACTTCTTCACCCTCAGCCTCCCTGAGCACTAGCAGAATTCACTTCAGCAAGACACGGGATCCTTTCCCACCCTCTTCACATCCCCCAAACTGAAAATAATTCTCGCCGGCTGTGCCACAAGAATCCTTCCGCTTAGGACACAGGGACTACTCCTTTAATTCTAAGTACTTCACCGATTAGTAAGCAACACTTACTGGCACTCCAACATTCTCGGCACATTTTTATTTAGGAGAGAGGATGCTGACCACCTGTCTGATGCTCTTAGAAAAAAGAACAGCTGTGTAATAAGAGAGACAGTTCAAACACCTGACCCACAAAGTGAAAATAACAACCATGATCAAAGCACTATTTCTGTACAAATCACAACAGCACAATTTGACTGCTGCCATGAAAGCCCGTGTGTTGCTAGATCCTTGTTTAATGACGACTCCTGTAGTTTAATGATCCATCAAATGACAGATTCATTAGAGCAGCAAACAGTTGTCAATGCTTCAGGTTGATCAAGAATCTTTCTGCCTTTTCTCCTACTCAAACATTGAGCTTTCCTGTGTCCTCAAAAAAGGATTTATGAATTAAGCAGAGATGAAAGAAAAAAAAAAATCCTCTGAAAAATTTAAAATCCCTTCTGTGAATGAAGAACATGAACTAATGCCAGCCCAGATTCTGTGGCAGTCCTTTCCATAATGCTTTGCCACATGCTTAAGGGACAGCAAAATATCATCCCTGGTAGATAAATGCAGAGTAGGAGATTGCACTGAGAGTACATAGTAAGAACACAATGTATTAATTAAAAGCGGATATTTTTCAATACACGTTATACACTCAACTTATTCAAAAGTTTAACAAATTCACTCAGATGCACAACATCTGGCTACAGAAGCTCTGTCAGGTCAGGCAGGGAGATTACTGCACTTAGACTTGGGAAAATTCAAGCCATATCTTCCTGAACTCCCCTTTTCCTGCAGTTCAACAATGTTTAAAATTTTCCTTTCTGTCCACAGCTGAAAATGGCAGCTTCCACATGAGAAATGTGCCATGCCTAGAACATAGAGCAAGTCCTGCTAGGTCAAAACTCTGATTTTCAAAACCCAAAACTTGCACGTGTCTTCTCTGAAATTTCTAGAGTAATTTTGTGAGTTTAAATGAAAAACTAAAGCGTTTGTTTGCATTTACTTTCGCATTCCAACAGCCTTCTCCAAGAACAGCCACGTTACCTTTGGAACTGGAACACTTCTTCACACTAGGACTTCAACCATCCTTTGGTCTTTGCACATTAAATTGGGATGAGGGCTGTTACGATTTGAGATATGACGACTTGTGGGTACATGGAAGGGGCATGTATTGGCCAACCACACTTACTCTAGTGCCCTACAGATCTGTCCCTTTAAACCACACACCACCACCCGGCAGTTGCTATCGCTTGAACATACACAGTCTATTTTATTTTGGATATGTGATACCGGATATCTGCATGTGTTTTTCTCTGAAACCCGAGGACTGTGTTACAAGACAGATGACACAAATTTCACAAGCTGCAGGGTGAGAAATACCAGCCACAGACCGATATCTCCGTGTATTACAAAGCAAGATGGAAGCACTCCTGTGGCCAGTGCATCCCCCAATTCTTCCCCGCTCAGCACAGCATCTATTCGGGACTTGCCACCATCTCTTGATGACCACAAATGCCAAGTACTTGGGTTAAACACTGTCTCAGCACCTCACCTCTTCCTTCCTCTCCCAGAAAACATGCTGTGAAGGAACATAAACACTGTTCTAACCCAAAGGACTCAGGAAGTCCCTTCCATGCCACTTGACCAAAGAACAGAAGTTTTCGTTGTAGTTCAACAGAATTAGAAGCACTTTTATTCAACTCTCCAGTCGGTAAAAAAAAAAAAATCAGCTTTTGGATCAGTTGCATACACTGATGGCATAAAAGTTGAACATGTCCGTCATTCTGGTCACTAAAAATTGCCTTCTGAATTACAATACAGGTGTGTGCATACTTGTACTCGCAGTGCAAAGCGCAGCCTACGCATGGGCCAAGAGCATTACAGATTACCTGGTGTAAAAACTGGGAGCAGTAACCCTCAGCTCCTACCTGAATCACCACCTCACCATCACCAACCATGTGTAAGAGAGGAAAAGGGCTGCAGCAGGCTGAGCCTCGCTGTGTCCTGTATCCAATCTCTCCTACCAGAACCAAACAGCTTGTGGGATTTATGTCGTATTGCATGTGAGTTGATGGCCACTTTAACAATACTTGAAGAGGCCAAAGAGAAGGCCGATTCCAACAGGGCTTTCTGCTTAGAGATGAACCTGTATCTGTTTGTGCCTTCCCTTCCAAAGGAAACAATTCTCAGGTCAGAAATAACCACTAAAGACCTCAGTCCGTGAATTCTTACCGAGTTCCACACAGAACT